GACTGGCTTTAGTACCTGATTACCTACACCTCTGCACGTGATCATCAAGTGCAAAGCAAATACCCCATGGCTGTACTAAAATTATAATGAGACGAAATATTTGCCAGCTCTTCATCAACTCGGGGATGACAATTTGAAAATATTGGCAGAAACTATAAGCAATGTAAGGTGAAAAGGTTATGGTATATGTGACTGAGAGAAGCCTGGTCATTCTCTCTAGATTTTCTTATACGGCTGTGAGCTTTATAGTTTCCACCACGCAAGTCCTACTTATCAACTTCACGTAGAAGGTTATTTCCACGAAAGTGAAAGGATAGAGGCTAAATTGGGTGCTTGACACCAGATTAGCGAATACGAAGAGCCCACGTACGGGTGCTGCTAAACCTAATCCTAAATCATTGGATCCCATTACCTTCAGAACCCAGAAGAAACGAAAAGCATACAAAACTATCTTGGTCACCAAAAACCGTAAGAATGCAACATCTGGTTTTACTCCACTGCCTTTTGTAACAGAATTCAAGAGATTCGATGGGTGGCCGATTAAGACAACAATCTTCTTCGGCCTGGGCGTCCTTGGAATATAACAGTCTTCACATAAATCACTAAACAAAACTGACAATGAAGAATTCAGTGCTCAGCAAATCATCTTATAACTGACGAGATTTACTTTGTAACCGACTCTACGCAGTCATTCAATTTATTGTCTTTTCATTGTCATTTTTATGTTTGAATCTGTTTTTTCGTTGACATTTCCAATCATTTTTAGATGTTACCTTGCTTCACCTAGCCGCTTTCATCGACTGGAATTCTAGTACGTCTGAACTATTCTGGATCACTTAACAGTTGTTTCCATAGAGCTACTCTTCAATCCAATGCCTGACTCAACAATTTTAAAACCCAAGTATGGCTTAGGGTGGCTGGCTTCAATATTCGGACCTTGACGCAGACCGAACAATAAACAGGCTTGGCTAAGACTCTGAAAACACTCACAAATTGTGTATATTTTGTTCCAGACACCCACATACAGGATCCTATTGAAGTGTTTCGAATAACTTCTTCATTTATCAGCTCGAGTTGTGCTTACCTTGCCCTTTGCAGGATAGCCCGTGCAGCTAGCTACGAACTTGGTATGCTAGAGTCGACGCTCAACTAGTTGACTGGATCCCGATTAAGTCATCTGAAATGTAAGGCTAATAAACTAGATTAGAGTAAGAAGTAATTGGTGAGGGAAACTATATCTTTTCACCATTTCTACCTACGTTCTGATTAAGTGAAACTAAGAGCAGTTAAGTATGAGTTCTACCACCAACTGAGTAACCTCAAACAGGCTTGTTCAACAGATATTGTTTGCTATCTAAGGACTTGAATGCGAAGGTTGGATGTTTTGGATCAGGTGTCGTCTGACACTGAAGTTTGGATTAAAATGGACTGCAGTGAATCTATCTAAAGATACTTGTGTATTCAAGGCTACCAATCCTTCTGTAACACCACTCAGGACTCTGATTATGCTTAAATGCCTCCCAAGTTCATCTTGCGTTTTAGCTTTCATCTAAGTCACCATCTTAAGTGGATAGAGGTAAACAACCGGTTGCAACTATATACCAACACAAGCTATATTCTCCAGTTTCTTGTTGAAGATGTGTCCCGATTACCATGTAAGTTTAGTTGATTCGGTTTTGATTACCACAGGAAGACTACTCTACATTCAAAGAAACTGGAATGATCAACCAACTAGACGACTTTAGTGAGACTAACTATAAAATCTCATACACTAGCTAGTACCTCAGTTATTCTCAGCCACTAACTTTAGATTTCTGATGGCAAACCATCAGGACCTACTGAAATGAGTTGCATCTGGATGAAAACATCCTGCTATACTCCAGAGAGATATGTAGAACGATATTTATGCCAATTGGTGTTGCAGTTAAGAGACAAAAGAGTGACTACAGGTCGTTCGAACAGTTCTGATTAATATTTCAGTCTCATGTAGTGACTGTCAAGGGTTTGTTTTTGTCAGCAACCTCGTCAACTTCTGTTTCTTCGAGTTAATTTGTTCAATAAAAGTGAATAACTAACTACTTAATAAATAGTGCTGACGTCAACATCCACCCCTCATAATTGTTAGAAAGACTCTTAATCAGTTTAAGTTCATTATGCTTCCACCCACCGTAATCGAAGTGTCAGTCTGAGTTATCGGAGTTCAATCACTTCAGATAATACCCCACTGACCTACCAGCTTTTACTAAGCTTAGGTTACGATGTTTACGCTTATATCCGCAGAAGATTGAATATTATTCCCAGTTTGATCAGTGAGGATTGTCATTTTCAGATAAATGCTTACTTAGCTCCACCTAAAATATGTAGTAATAGAATCTCCTACAGTGATACTTAATTAAACAACCAAGGCGTCAAGGAAATAGAATTAAAGTAACCACCGCAGATCCGTATCATTTTAGTTTCGATTACCAATTATTTCCTAGGCAATTTCACAATATTCGATAACCTGCAGTGATAGTAAAATGTGTAGAATGAAGCACAAACCATCACTAAATAATTTATTTCAATGAAATTCATTTCTAACCCTACTTCAAGTGATGTCCAGACTCTCCCTTTTCAGTCAACTGACATAGATGTTCTCATAATCCTCCGCTTCTTGTCTGACTCCACAGGCACTGATCATTGTCGCAGGAGACTCTTTAGTCGGCCTAAAGTACGCCCACTAAATAGTCTTACTAGGTGAAGACGATGACAATATGTTTACTGTACAATGAACAAGAATATCTGGGGTGTTCTTGCCACTTAGGTGTGAGCCGTCACTTCAGAATTGGTTTTGAGTTCAGGGACGGGGATGAAATGATTGCATGCAATGGGAACCTTCCTTGTGAAGTCAGATAAACCGTGATTCGTCAGTGACAAACGAAATATAAGTACAGATGCAAAAGGATCGACTGGCATCTTCCTACTTATATTTACTACGTCGCTGTCGACATAGCTGATGCCTTAATGAGTCGAGTGTACTGTGTTCTACCATATAGCTGTGGAATATGACCATTAAAGGAGGGTCTGAGAAGTTCCCAGGCGTTGGACCATTACTGGCCTCTTTAGTACTGGCCATGTCATGGGAACACCATACACCGTTAAAGGCAATGTCTTCAGCAAAAATGTCTTTTAAAAATCCATTGACTTGGATGCATTACGCGAACCTTATCACCGTCTACGACGTCACGCAATATTAAAGTAGTGGTATTAGTTCATGTAGTCTCTTATTGTCGGTGTGAAGTACTTAGGGAAAAGTAGACTTCCAGATTAGGACCTACATGACAAAACTCTAGGTGGTATGACTTAAAATCGGTAGTAGTGGTCCATATGAATTCGAACCTTTTCCTCATCTTAATCGTGATAAAACACTTTGTGGCTTGCTACAATCCTCCTTCTTATGACGCCTTACGAATTTTGATTAAATTTTCACTTCTCTATCATCTGCCTTGATGTGAGATATAGTATCTGAGATCGTTAAGCAGCATTGCCAGGTTTCATGTTGATATTGACTGACTAGTCATCCTATATAAGCAATATATTTTTTCTCATATCACCTTCAAAGTGTGAAGTACCCTAAGTCCAAAATACCCACTACATAACTCAAAATAACTACTAGGATTTAAACGGTTCACCTACATCCGAGGTACTGTATTAACAGCACACGATTCAGTAGAAAAGACAGCTGAAATGTACGGTATTAATTTGTAAGAGTGAAATTCATTCAAAATGCGATAGTTAATCTCCGATAATCTACACAAAGCTTCTGAATAAAATTTGTCTCAACTGGTTGAGTCCATGAGTAAGTCTTCCGCCTCTTTGATATGGTTGTCTCTATCTCTGTTCTTCACTGATTAGTTGAGCATAGTTCTGCTCCCACCTGGGCAGAGGTATGATTACCTGCTGAGTCTCATTGTTTAGTCATGAAGTCTTCAGTGATGACTCTAGGGATACTAAGAATTCTGATACTGAAGCGTCTCCTATACTTTAATTTAGTCCTTTCTGAAGTTCCTCGGACTTGGCCAAAGGTTGTTTGGGCAAGTTGACTACGCAGTCACTTCATTCTTCCTCTTTTGGTGCTTATGGTTTTAAAATCTTGAGAAGCTTCTCTTGAGAAATTTTTCTTCTCTGTTCTTTGCGTCATCTGCTTGATTTTTCAATCACAGCTCCTAACATTGTAGTGTTCTGCTGTGAGTATCCCCTGAAGCTTTCTCTTTTGGCTGTCTATCGTCTGTTGACATTTCCGAATCCTATAATGATTATGAGTTGTATTATGTCTTTCACTATTTTCCAGCCCATCGGACACCCGATAGGTGGTCTGTATATGATACCTCATAAACACCCGTGGAGAAAATACAGTTGTTCTCTGTGGAGGCCTGTCGCTTGATAAAGTTCTCCCATCTCCGAACCATCTAGCTCCGAGGACAGAACACTATGAAAACAACCCCCATGAACTTTAAATATTCTACACCAAGCTACAAACTATTCTTCAGGGATATCTACTATATTTGAACAGTAGTCGACAAACGAAAACTATATACAACCACTTGGATTAGGCCAAATTCAATCAAATAATAAACAATAAACCCCACTGAACTCTGTGATAAGCAAAAGCATAAATATAACCAACATATTATTCTTTAATTTTACCCAGTAACACTAATATGTGCTCGCAGTAAGACTTCAAAATACAAAACAAATACAAAAAAGCTGAAAGGTATCTTAATAGCGTACTAACAGAAACAGAAATTCAGATTGAATACTTGGTACATAAGATTCACAAAAGCTATTCGTCGGATAAATGAGTTCGTAACAAAAGACAGATGGTATTTAGATACAATAAAAACAGGAAGAATTCGGACATACTCCCAAAGACACCTTTTTTAAGTGTAGCATTTACAGAAAGTTATCACAACATATGGATGAGATTAGGCATGAATTTGCATGAATATACAGAAATTAAATCAGACCAGTTTCTTAGCTTGAAAGAAAGCTCGTAAGTGACGCATTTGCCAAAAACCAATGCAGACCAGCAGAACCAACTGTCCAACGCTCCACCAAGTCACACGTTTGTTTGTGCTTTCACTCAATTTACGGAAACGTTCCTCCCTAACCTGCAAGAATAATCACAGACATTCATAGTTTTGGAGTCTGTAACAAATGATATAAACGTAACTTATCCAAAAAAAAACAATTTCCAATGCCTGCTGTCTTTCGTCACAACCAACTACTTTAAAACTAATCGACCTCATACAAGTGGTCGACAAGCAATGTGACTAGTTATGTTTAGTGTATGAAGGCGTATGATGCCACTCACATGTCTAAGCAGGTGTAGCTGAGTTAGAACCGGAGACTTACTGCACTAGAAAGTATGTTGAAAAAATTGTACGATTTGTAATAAAAATAAGATGTCTACGGGAGTGATCAGTTCTCATGCAATAACAATGCTTTAAACGTATTCTTCCACCAGTATATCATGCGAAAACCCATTAATAAACAGTGCATGTGAACTGATAAAAGACAGTACAAATAACTGCGTGAAATAGCATTCTAGTATTTACTTTAACATTTAAGCATTTCATTGTGGTAAACACTGTCATGACTTAAACAATTCTTAAGATATTTCATGATATTATTCGTTATGCTAAAAAAGACAGGACGATTAAGTCTTAAGTAACCCTATGAATAATTGACTGTTGATATATCCGACTACACACTGAAAAACGGGAATACAGCGTTGAAGTCCATTCTGTCATATAACACGGTAGACACATAACTGTTAAAAGTACAAGTTATGAAGCCACTACTAGTTCTCGATCACAGGTGTCTTCAAATCACTCCTCACGTTTAATGGAATCACAGTATCAACAATCTTGAAGTCAGACGAAGACTACTGAGTAAGGATGAGAAATCGGTCGATAAGGTTGTGAACCTTCTGAAACTAAGGTGTTTTGGATTTGTGCTACGCATGCTAACCCACCATCCACCTCCACGTGCCACGTTAGTTTGGAAGAGGGTTCATGGTGGCTAGAAGAGATGTGGCACCAGTTCATTAAGTCTTTGATTGTTCATCTGAGCAGTGTTCGGAGATGTGGACTAACTGGCTGAGGTCCTCGAGACGACAAGAATCAGCAATGAGGAATCTTAGTAAAAAGGCTGAAAACCACTCAACGCTGTATTCCTGTCCTTTAATAAGGAGTCGGATATATCAACAGTCAACAGCAGAGATGACACAAGTTGGAAAATATCAAACGAGCCTTCTACATCCCAACTGATATTTCGTTAACAACCAGGCTTCTCTCAGTCACATATACCATAACCTTTTCACCTTACATTGCTTATAGTTTCTGCCAATATTTTCAAATTGTCATCCCCGAGTTGATGAAGAGCTGGCAAATATTTCGTCTCATTATAATTTTAGTACAGCCATGGGGTATTTGCTTTGCACTTGATGATCACGTGCAGAGGTGTAGGTAATCAGGTACTAAAGCCAGTCTTTATGCAATAGAAGTGGCTTTTAATAATGACAAACATTGTAGCTTATCTACTTGGCTTAGGTTTGTGTACTAAGGTGCACGCTACAGTCAATTTGTAGCGTCTTCTGATATCAATTGGTCTCTAAGTCCAATGGATCCAGAGAAGTACTTCAACTCACAGTCTTATTTTGAAAAGTCAGATGTTCAAGACCATGAGACATAGCTAACTGCACAACAGGTTGATATCCTTTTGCATGGATCAACACTGAGTCACACTATCATAATTATGTTACACTACATTTTGTGTTACTTGTTAATCCTCTAAACTGTTTCTCATAGAGACTATTTGTCTTTCGAATTCATGGTATACTAGCGGTTATTGTATCCTGATAGTTTTTGCTTAACTGCTTGTAGGTAGCCATGGAGTAAGTTATGAGATACAATGCAATAATCGTGTCATACAACTTCCTTCTTCTAGATCTCCTTAAACTTTAGTGCTTTGACTCATAATTTGTTTCTTAGTAATGCAAATTTAGCATTTTTAAAAGTTTGTTGTGATTTCGAGGTTTAAGATTATTACTAAAATAAGTTGTTCAGTAAACTCCACTGAAAAATTATCATAAACAGTTTTCCTAATGAATACATTTGGGCAGTTTTAACGGTATAAACAAATAATTGAGGTTTATTTGATTTATAGTCAGTTATTTTATCTATCCAAACAACTTTGAACTAACCATCTTTTAAATTCTGTTTACCTATGGTATTTATTTCTAATTGATAGATTCCTACTAGCGATTAGCTTAATGTACATAGTCTTGATTGAATTTCTAATTTATAACTAATTACATAGTCAAAAGATAGAAGTGAACACGTACGCTTATGTTTATCAATGAAAATATTTTGTGCAATTTGGTCTTTAGACTATCAAGTATGTCTCAGTTCTAAATAGTTGCAGCGAACTGCTATAAATTTATGAGTCTGTATCAGCAATGAATAGATGATGTTAAACCAGTATATTAGGTGAAGATCTGCTTCTATATACTCTAATCATATAATTAGATAGACACATAAAATCAACGTAGAATCTTGCACAGAAATGCATTGGTTCAAGTTGCCATACTTCACAAAAGTACACAAAGAACAAGTTGATGAGAAAGAATAATACCAAAGGAGATAAATGTGTATATAGAGAGAGGAAATTTAAAACTTGAGGTTACTCAAAACTTTCAAGCTTTAGAGGACGTCTGGAACTGAATACTTCTACACCAATGCCACTGATTTTCAGCCATTCACTTAGATTCCTTATTACCGATTCTTGTCTCGAGGACCTCAGCCAGTTAGTCCACATCTCCGAACACTGCTCAGATGAACAATCAAAGACTTAATGAACTAATGCGACATCTCAATCTAGCCACCATGAACCCTCTTCCAAACTAATGCGGCACGTGGAGGTGTATGGAGGGTCGGCATGCGTAGCACAAATCCAAAACACCTTAGTTTCAGAAGGTTCACAACCTTATCGACCGATTTCTCATCCTTACTCAGTAGTCTTCGTCTGACTTCAAGATTGTTGATACTGTGATTCCATTAAACGTGAGGAGTGATTTGAAGACACCTGTGATCGAGAACTAGTAGTGGCTTCATAAATTGTACTTTTAAAAGTCATGTATCTGCCGCATTATATGATGGAACGCAGTGCAACGCTGTATTCCTGTCCTTTAATAAGGAGTCGGATATATCACCAGTCAACAGCAGAGATGACACAAGTTGGAAAATATCAAACGAGCCTTCTACATCCCAACTGATATTTCGTTAACAACTAGTTCGTTCGCACTGTTGCACCTCCCCAAGGAAACACGAAAAATATCGTCTGCATACTCAACTAGATGTCCTCTAGAGAGTGGGTTAGTCCCTGTGCAGTCACACATACACAAGGTTATTTTCATTAGTACATCTAATGTGAAATTGAAGGGGGATGGCGACAACGAGCACTGTTGGCGGATACCACCAGCTGTTGTCAATTCACATGTGACAACTCTCCTTAAGCCCTCACACAACTGTGTGAGTTCGAGTAGAGATCTTTGATTAGGGTTGCATAACTTCTCGGTAATCCTTACAGTCAGACACTGCCACAACCCATCACGCTCAACAAAGTCGAGCGTCGACTACAGTTGAAGAAGAATGGCAAATGTCATCCACTGGCCGGTAATTATGCCTGCGTTCCATGGACTAGCGATGAGGGAGAACCTGATCTATGCTTCCTCTTCCATGTGTGAAACCTGCTTGCTTCCCTAGAGTGCATTCTTCTCCAGTTCCAGTTTGTCGTCGGATAACTATGAATTCTGTGATTTCGAACCAGTGATTCCTCTGTGGTTGCCACAAGAGAACTTTCCTCCTTTCTTATAAATCGGGACGATCAGGGAAGCAGATCAAGTTGACAGAGATTACTCTCTGTCCGATTCTGACTGCCTAGTTCCTCCGTTACTCCACTCAGCAGTTTCCTACCTCCATCCTTGTAAACACCGCGTGACAAACCACCAGGTTCCGTCACTATGCATCGTTTCAGGTTAGAAATAACTTTCTTAACTTTGACAAGAATTGGGGGACTGGCAGTCATATCCCAATCACATTCATTCTGCATCCTAGGCAACTGAAGACCAGTTGAACTGTGCTTCCAATTGTCATACTCAACGTTCTAGCTGTCTGTCCTGTGAGGTCATCAGCGTTTCACCCTTCCTGGTGATCGTTTCACTAACCATCATCCTCTTCGTCTAGACATCACTTATAAGCCTAAATAGTTGTAGGGTTTTGTGCAACGCTGACGCATCCTCCATCTCTCTCACTTTCACCATCCACCACTGCTCATGATGGACGTGAAAACTCTTGGTCAACTTACGTTTACGTTGCTTTCGCATTTCGTCTCCGTCAGAGCTTACTAAAATCGCCATTCTTGCATCAATCAGTTCAGATGACGTCGCACAAACCCATTAACATTTGCTAGCCTTTAGATGTGATGTAGGTTAGCAACTGTCTTCACCGTTGTTTCTGCAGCAGACCTAATATCACTCCAGCTTTCCTCAGAATGAGCATTGTTGTCACCTTCAGATAAATGCTTAGCCATCTCCTCCCTAACTACGTATTCAATGTCCCCATCTTCCAATCGACCATACACAGGCCCTACAGCCATTTGTTTCCTGCAACCAGAAGGGTACAGACATACACGAACTCATACTGATGTGTGATCGTAGTGCTAGCACGAACTCCGGAAAGAACAGCAGCAATCCTCCACCGAGACAGTCCAATGATGGCTTATAGAAATGTGATCTATCTGTGTTCAGCGTTGGTTTGACGTTCGCAGACAGAATGTGAGACAGAGTCTCTCCTTATGCTTTAAGTTAGTGCTGGCCGGAAACAAGTGGTTGTCGGAACAAAATTGCAGCAGATGATCACACCACTGTCGGTTTGTTGGCATGGGATTCCACAAATACTAACAAGAAGCCATTCTGATTGTTTCAGCTTCTATACTTGAGAGTCAGTGTCACTTGACATTACAACTGCATCTGAACGTTTTGCTTTCTTCAGCAAAGTTGACAGCTTTTCATAGGATTCATCCTTTGCATTAGCCGAACTGCAATCAGCGGGTGTATAGAAGGAAATTACGAATAGTCATTGGTTGATCTTACGACCCTTCCTATTCGATCACATCCATTTAGTCGAACAGCACATAGATGGCTGTTGTCTAGCATCCAGTCGAGAAGTGCACCTGTTGCTCCACAACTCAATGCTGCGTCTATACCAGCGACTCCACGAGTCCGGATACTCGTTGGGTGAATTTTGGAGACTCACTACAATGGCCAGGTGAGGTTAATTTAATAACCACGTTCGGCTCATGCATATGTGTCTCATAGTCACACTACACATTCATGGGTAGAGATTCCAGATTTTTGGCGAACGATGCTTGTTGTCCGATTAAGCGAAGAATTCGGATTTTGAAAGCCTCAAAAGTAGATCGATGGCATGGCTTTAGGACACTAGGGATGAATTTTCAATGACTTTGATCACTGACAACGGTGGGAGAGTGAGAGGTTGAGGAAGTTGTAAGAGGCTCATTATTAATATCAGGTGGTGAATGCAAAGGAGGAGACAGAATTTAGGATAAGTTATATTTGATTGGGTCTTGTGTACTACTGGAAGCGCGCGAGTGGTTGACAATGTGGCTGCCAGCACCGTGGAAGGCCATTTCCTCTTAAGGTAAGTGACAGAGAAAACACTTGTGACCATAGGGCCTATGGGACACCCACTTCAGGCCTGTCACACACAGCCTTCTGTAGATTGTTGTTTTCAGATTCGGTTACTCCGACACCAGATAGAGAAAAGCCATACCACCAGCACCGAAAGATTTTGGAGGAGTCAACAGTCTTAGGACCTGGTCTTCCCAGCATTCGCTTAGCACTGCCGGTCATCCAAACAAAATGCCTTACTGCCATCACACCCCATCCAGCTAGCAGCTGTATGACTTCACCCTCAGACTTCTATCACAGTGTAGCAATCTAATGTGCAACGGTGACTGCTTTTTTTTCTTACCACTATCTAACAGACTTTTGTTGTGTATTTGGACCTCGAGAGAACACGCGTTTTGACCAGTGCGGTTGGTAGGTTGATTATGATACACAAGCGGGACCACGAAGTCAAGGTAACAGCTATCAGTTTAGATTTCAAAATAATCGTAGTCCTATTGGTATTAAGCTGTTTGTTTATCAAAAATTACCATATAATGGAAATTTATTCTCATACTAGTAATGGTTTATGGTGAAATGAAAAAAAACGGTGGGACAAAAGAAACGATTTTGTTGCGTTTGAGGCGAAAGTTGACGATGTATGTCCACATGGTCTCCTTCAGCTTCAGATCGATGAAGTGGTTTCTAATCCATGATACTGTGGATGACCGTCGAATATGCTAAGGAAAAGAACCTCAGTGCAAGTTTTTTCAGAGAATATTTGTGGTTAAGGGCCACACCAACCACTGTGGGATGTATGATAAACGATTAGTTCACAAGTTGTAAGGATCAGAGGAAAAACAATAACTTACGCGCTGGTAATTTTGATCTTTAGCTATAGATTGGACTTGATCTAATAGCTGACGAACTCGAAGCTGCAGTTCATTTAATCTGTCTTTTGAAGCTATCTCCTGATAATTTAGAGCATGATCTCCAACTGCAATATCAAGATGTACTCTCTAGAACATTAAGAACGCCACATATAACCTACCAGTTGTGACCCCCCAAACCATGCATTTGAATCAGATGATATACACATTTTATATTCGCCAGGTCTGTGAGCAGTAAAAACGAAACGACCTTCAGAAGAATAAACCTAGAAGCAAGCAGTCAAAAACTGAATATGAACAACTTCAAAGTGAAGAGAATTGATCACAATTTAACTTTAGAATAGTGATGATTTTTCAAACGACAAAAATTGAGACAACGAAATGTCTCACAACAAAAACGTTAACTGGTTATGCAATGCCGATACAAGTTCATGACTAGATATTCCTTCATTCGAAGTTGGTGCGTATTTGCCAATACTAATTCGTTATACTAATGACAACAGAATGCAAGCCAAAAGCAACTATTCACTGATAACTTCATATATAAAGGTGTTTTCAAGGTGGTGTTTTTATCATAGAGTGAAATCAGCTGGAGAACCACTGAAAGCCTTAGAGCACCGGACAGCTGTTTTGTTCTATCATGGAACTCAGTAGTGTAGACCCATCTTGGAAAGGACCAAGCCCAGGAATGTCGGATCTAGTGTTACACTGCTGAGGTCCGTACTAAAACGAATTGTCCAGTGCCCCAATGTCTTCAATACTATTTTAACTGACGACAGTCTTTGATGAGTACTACCATGAAATTAATCAATGACTACAAAGCACCAATTGAAAAGGCATGTTTTTATAATCATGACAGAACCAAGTGATGGTAATGAAAACAGAAACTATGAAAGAAAAGTTTCAACAAAAAATAAAACGGCATAAATAGGATATTAATGGTTAATGATAAGATGATAAACTAAACCAGATACTTTTTCTAAAGTCCTCAAATTCAAATATCTAGTGCATCTCATCCAAGAAGTTCAAAACTAGCCGTTAGATGCTAGATGAACGTATCGAGTACGCAACTTAGACGTTTACGCAGTAATCCATAGTCTTAAATTTTCTATGAAGAATGAACTCATGTAGTCAATATCTAGGCATATTTGACTCATTCTCGAACATTATCAGTTGACATAGGTTCATGACCACGTCAATTATTTAGCCCCTCAGGTTTTAAGGCTTAATTTTAGTATTATTCAATTAGTGGCTTAATATATAGAAATCAAAAAATTGAAACACCAGATACTGATGGAAGCTGATTCTGAAACAGACATGTATTTGAAAGTGAAACGCAAAAACAACAAAGTCTAAACCAAACCTTTTAAAGACAAAACAGTTTGCTTGATTCGAGTATTTAGCATCGCTTTATAGTTATCATTAGTGAGGCCACAACTGAAAAGAGCGAACATCTTGAAACAAGCGGAAGATATACATCTGAGCCTTGAACAGCATGCGACGTTTCGAACAGATATTCATAACAGAGTTGACCGGTTGTCACGAGGAGGGAAAACAAATGTAAATTGATCGAGAATCTTCGTAGAAACTATCGGTAGTTGCGGACAGTGAAGGTAACAGATGCACTGCCATTAAGTAGTGATTTGTACTTACTATAGAAGCTGGTAAGATGACAACGGTTGGTAAGACGATCACTTTGAAAGATGGGTCCCTGATAGATTCAGAATCGGTGGCTGGGACGTTGAGTGAAACCATCAAACAGCCTACGGTCATACTTCAGTTGCATATCAATCAGCTCCAGACTGTATGGTTTTAGACACAGGCCCTATGAACCTCATCCATATAGAGAATGTTTTTAAATAAAATTGACGAGAAGCAGCAAGAACTCTCAAGTTGACACGTTTGGAGGTGTGCAGATAGACAAAAACAATGTAAAACATCTCAGACAAGCACATCGGTCCAAGTTTCCACACTTCACAAGAGTATGCAAGGACAAGTGGATAAGAAAGACTTATATCAAAGTAGACAAAAGTATATGACGGGAGAGAAAATTGCAAACTTGAGGTTGGTCAAAACGCTCAAGCTTTATATGACGTCAAGGAGTGAATACATCTAAGCCATCGTGACCGATTTTCAGCCACGTCAACAAGTCTGCAACACTGGTTTCTGTCGTCTTGGGGACCACAGTCAGGTAGTCTACCTTTCCCCCCATAACTCAGAAAGAACAGTCAGGGTCTTCACCGACTGGCTACCTTGACCACTTCCAACAAAACCAAACTTCTCCTAGCACAGTACGCCCAAAATGTGCGGCACACGTCCAAGCCACCTCAGTTGACGAAGGTTCACAACCTCATTGATTTCCTTCCCTTCAGTCAGACTCCCGCAACACCTAACATTCGACAGAGTCAAATCCCGTCTTCACTAATCCCTGTGTGAGCAATGCTGAGGTCAGACTGAGGGTGCTAGGCAAGACAGGTAAGTCAATCAGTGAGGCTGCGAACCTTCACCGACTGAGACGGCCTGGATATGTACTGTGCATGCTGTGCTATTGCCTACATCGACATCCTATGCTAGAAGTGGGATTCAGTTGCAAGGGGGTTAAGCGTAAACAGACTAAGACGTGGTACTAGTCCATGAAGTCTTTGAATGTTGGTCTGAACCGCGTTGGGAGATGTAGGCTAACTGGTTGGGATTGCCGAAACGACAGGAAATAAGTAGCCAAGAACTCTTGGTGAGATGACTAGAAATCGGTCACACTGAAGCAGGTAAATCCACTCATTGACGTCTTCCAAAGCTTAAATTCTGCACAAACCGTTAGCTTTAAGTCGTTTATTCTCTTACACTTTTTCTACTCCGACACCATTTTTCTATCCACCTGTTCTTTGTATACTGCTTTAAGTGTAGCGACTTGAGCCGATAGACTTGTGTGCGAGGTTCTACAATGATTTCACTTCTGTCCTGGGACCCTTCATCTGACTTGAATAATGCTCAAATGGTGATCCCATCAAATGCAAGCAATGCTACGAAGGCACCTCCCGACCTTGACGTCGTGGTCAGGCTTGCATATCACAATAACTCAAAGAGATATGATGGTGGAACACTTGTTCCCTCGAGGTTCTACCATACCACAAAGGTCTGTTGAACTGCTGTTGCTGTCTTCGCAATGGAAGGGGAGGTTTGGAAAAGGTCGCCCCCCAAAATAACACACTCCACCATACCTCAGAGTCTGCCGGGCCGGCGGTGTTGGTTTGTTTGTCCTTTCTTTACAACGATCCGGCCCCAAAACAACAAAAATCAAGATAATCTTACACAAAAGGCTGAGTGTGACAGGCCTCAAGCAGATGTCTGATGGGCTCTGCAGTCACACAAATCTCTTTCAGGTAATTAAAGAAGAAACAGCTTTCCACGTGTGAGCAGCCCTCACAACTCTATCATCACTCAAGTTTCCTCAGACTGCTATCCGCCCACCCATCCCCTATCATTACCTTCTAATCTTCCTTCACGTCTCTCAACTAACGATACTACATCATCTCCAATTTCTCCTAGATCTGCAGCCTTCGACAACGATCTGAGTCCACAGAACAGCATCCTTGATCTCCTGAAACCACTCTCCAAATTACATATTGGAGCCTTCAATGTCCGCACCCTCCTCAAATTGGTCAACACGCTTCGTGGGCAAAGAGTGTAGCTACTCGGACTACGGATGTGTGCTGTGTTTGAGAGACACGTATACAGGACCCAAGTGTGGTTATTCACCTGACCTACCCCGGCCAATCTAGTGAATCCGCAAAATTCACCCTCCGAGTTTCTGGAGATTCGATAGCTAGCTCTCGCGATCTTATAGGTGTAGGTATGCACTAAGCACTAGGGCAGAAAACTCACTACTAGACTGGATCCCAGTCGATAGTCGCCTTTGCGCTATGAGGCTGAACGGCACAGTGAGAACTAAAAGGAATAGGGAGACCCGCCGTTGTCTCTCTGTAATCTCTGCTTGTGCGCCCACCGACTATAGTTTGGATGAAATGAACGGCGAGTTCTCCCGTAAACTGTCTAGCTTCCTCTCGAAAGCCAAACATTCGGACATAGTGGTTGTTGCAGGTGACCTCAACGCACAGGTGGGTAGACTGAGTGAGGGCAAAAAGGCACTTAGGTGGCATTTTCGGAGTCCCAGCTGAACGTACAAATAACGGTGATCGCCTACTACAACTGTGCTCAGATAATCACCTATTTTTAGCCAGCACAAATTTTAGACATTAGAAAAGACACTGTCTGAGGTGGTGTCCACTGAGCTCAACTCAGCGATGGACACAGATAGACCACATTGCTATTAGTCATTGCTGGAGAGGATCGGTGGAAGACTGCCGCTCCTTCTGGAATACATTCTTGGATAGTGACCACACGTTGGTCCGAGCGCGTATATGTCTGCATCTCCTTGGACGTAAGAAAAATTTGTCAACAAAACGACCACGAGTGCTACTGGACAACAAAACACCTAAGCCGTGTTCAGTGAGAAGTTGGCTAGGCAGTTATAGGAACAGAAGACCATCACTCATCCAGAAGAAGCTTGGTGCCATCTTCAGTCTGTTGTAAAAGCAACACTGGAGACCGTAGCCAACTCCGAAAGTGGCTAAAGAGAGCCAGTGGATATCAGCAGTTTCTTCCGAACTAATGGATATACGTGAATGCATCCCTGTCTGCAGGCTCTGAGTACAATGAAGAGCGAGGGCAACTTAAAAGCAGATTGAGAAAAAGTCTACTCAACAACCGCGAACAGTGGTGGGCAGCGAAGGCTAAAGAGATGGAAAAGGCAGTGGCGATTGGTAACAGTAGACAGTTATTTAGACTTATTAAGGAAACCGGGGGAAAGGTCAACAACAGTTTGTGAGACCATAGCGGAGGACGGATTTGCAAGTCACTCGCAGGGGAGACGACTGGAACGATGGGCAAAACACTTCGAGGAACAGTATAACTGGCCACCAGCCACCATTACGTTGCCTGCTATCAAGTTGGATCCTGAATGGAACATTGAGATAGGCTCCCCAACACTAGCAGAAGTCGAGAAAACTGTAGGTAACCTGAAACGAGGATGGGTAGCAGGACCATACGGACTAACTCTAGAGGTATACAAGGGTGGTGGTAAGGTACTCTGAGTCAGGTTGACGGAAGTGCCAACCAGTATATGAGGATCAAATAAGATCCCTTCTAACTGGTCTACATGACTGATCATCCCAGTCTTCAAGAAACGCATGAAGTCCTCTTGTGATAACCACAGAGGAGTCAGCCCGATGAACACTGTCTAGGATTCCGGGTTCTATAATTCTCCGACGCCTGAGTGGAGCTCGGGAACAGCAAGCCTGAGGAAACCATGCAGGCTTTAGACCTGACCGCGGATGTATCGACCAAATGTTCACACTGCGCCAGATTTTAGAACAGACAGGCTTACCGGCACCCGACAATAGCATTATTTCTCGACCTGAAGGCGGCATTCCACTCCGTTGATCGAGAAGTCTTATGACAATGTCCCTCAATAAAAGGCGTACCGAGTACAACACTTTACTAAAGGCTCTCTACTCAACACTTGTGGGCGTGTTAAAGCCTATGATGAGATATAAGGTGAGCTGTGCTCATCGAGTGGTTTCCGTCAAGGGTGTCCACTGCTTCCATTCTTATTCAATTTTATCATAGATATTCTTTTGACAAGATGCAGAGTCTTCTCAACACTTTGAGTGGCGTTTCTCACCAACACGAATACAGAAAGGCTCGGTTGGCTGTTGCCAACTTACGCCATATATGGCGCCGCCATGATATCCGATTGTTTATTAAGGGTCGCGTGTACTGCACAGCAATCCGGTCTGTTCTACTTTATGGCTGTGAAACATGGCCATTGAAGGTGGAAGTCATGAGAAAGCTTCAGGCGTTTGAACACCATTGCCTTCGTAGTATAGGCCGCCGTATTCCGAGGTGTCACTACGTGAGTAACACAGAAGTCAGGTGTAGAGTTTTAGGGAGAAGAGGTAAGTCGGTTGACGAGTTAGTGAACCTTCATCGACTGAGATGGTTGGGACACGTCCTATGTATGCCTAGTCGCAGATTGCCTCGTCACACAATGTTGGCTGAAGTAGGCCCAGGCTGGGGTGTGGCAACTCAGACCGTTACGCAGTGATGCCTGGTCGTAGGTTGATCTGGATGGATGGATGACGAAGGCGTCTATGGTCCGGAACTTGTGGCCTCTTCATATCTACTTCCAACAGCTCTCACAACCGTACAACGGGACAGAACGGACTGCAGCGCAGTATACACATCCCTGAACAGGTAGTCAGATGAGTCGCCGGAGCCACAGATGATGCCATCTCTAAGTGAAATCGAAATGCAACTCGGCAAGTACGTGCACGGCAGCCCAGAAGACAAAGGTCTAAAGCAATTCAGAGTTAATGATACCTGGACCTCGGTAGTGGGTTGTCGCTCTGTGGTTTAGGGAGATGATTTTTCACTAGTGAGTTACAAGTCCGATCCCCGGTCCACCTACCAAGGTTTGGGCAGCCAGGTAGTAGTATCATTAGCCCTCACCCAGTACGTGTGGCCTGCCGACCAAGTGGACGGAGCTCGGTAGGCGGATTGGGTTTCAACCCTGATCTACTGGTTGAAAGTGGTCCAAAAAAGTTAGCCACAGCTCGATTTCGATTCTTCGACAGCAGGAGAAAATCTCCTGAAAACTGGGGACTTCATAACCTGCCAATGTCTTTAAACGAGAATTCCTGCTGATACCTGACTTCTTCTGTTTATTGAAGTTAAGCACCTCATAAGATATTTACAGTGACTTTTATGTACACTAAGGTAACAGTACATCTTGGTTCAAACCGTGAACCAACCTCCTGACAGAGGCAGTTAAGGGATGTTATCATGAAGCAAGTGATAAAGTAACGTAATCTCATATCTTGATCACAACTGTTAGCAACCTGAGACGTGGAATGAATGTCAGTATCGTTCCATGATTAACTTACTAGCTGTAATACGTCAATGCCTTGATTTACACACCTATTATAATGCCAGCACAACACCGCGAAACAGATATAGGCAGTATGCCACAAACATAGTCTGTGAATGGCCAGGATTAATTACTGACTTTGAGGATTAAACTCGTATTAATGTTGGTAAGCAACAGATCCACAGGTGCCCTAAAAGTGCGAAAAAAACCATCTGGTTACATGAATATTTTGTCAATGAACAATCATTTGCACCAACAATCCTTTACATCTAACTCTTCCACTTCCAGGTGATTATCTTAGCCGGTTAACACTTAAGGCGAGACTTGAAGGTTTCGCTGATAGTCTGAGAGTAATTCAGGCATTGGGGCTTTTAGCAAGTGACCTTCAAAGTGTACTGAAACTACTTGTGGCGCTCTTTGGATCCGCCTACAGCTTCTGTGTCTAAATCATCTAGGTTAACGTTGCGCATCTTAAATTGAAACCAGCTTTGGTCTGTGATGCTTAGAAGATCAAAACACAAGTACATTCGATAACGTAAAAAATCTTAACTTACACGGTCAAGCAGAACTTGATCGTTTGGATCGATAACCCTTACTTTGACCCCCAAGTCCTTCGAACGTTCAAAATGTTTGCCCTTGCTGCTAGCAACTTATAATTCCCTGTCAAGAATAAGATTTCAGACAAACTCTGCATACCAGCTACAAGCGTATCCTCTGGAACATCCTCCAGGAAACACCGTTCTTCAGTTTCTTTCATATGGAAAAAAAGGCTTTCCGTGAACCCCAAATATAAAGAAAATATGGCAAGCAACATAAAATCCATAGCTGACGTGTAGAACTAATATTGCGCGAAGTCACAAGAGTAGTAAAACAAAACCACTATTTCTATTTCAATATAGCTTCATACATCATTTTTTGAACTCTAAGAAAAACTCTTTATGAACATGCATTCCCAGCCATTTTTCTGCATTGGTTACTGCAACTAGGAGTAGTGTGAAATGCAGCCGTACTTTGAAATGTGCATGACTTTTCCACGTTCACTGAATTTTTGGCATTTTTGCATGTGCACACCACAGACTGTAATGTTTTTAACTTCATCCGAAATATATTCTGAATAAACTAGGTGAGTTCTTTCATGTTACCTATCTGATGATTCGCTGTGTTTACTTTTCGGTGTAAGCCATCCTGATTCATTTTAGTGGTTTGTTTTTTATAAAAATATTTTGTCTGGCTTTCCTTACCACGCTCATGACTTTTTGGCCCTATTTGCATGTCACTGGTTCCCGTGTTCAGGTTCAACCTAGACCCCAAAGAGGTTATCTACTCAAGCCATCTCAGAAACACTATGTGTAGGTAGGGTTACCGGCCTGCATTGCCCTCTGGTACCCAGTGTAATGAGCTTAAGCGATGATACCACGAAGACTGAATGGGCCTCATGCATGAAACATATGAAAAGAATAGCAGTGTACAGAGTGACTGCTAATGCTCCTCCTGCTGCTGAGACACTCTTGGGTTGAAAGAAGAAGCTGAATACCCTCACGAAGAAATCGGTATCCCGAAGAAGAGTCAATGATTTTGATGAAGGCGGTGAGGCTAATATTGGTGAGCCCAACGTGATCAAATATCCCAACATGATCGCATATACCGACCAATAACGAATATTGAATTGGTGAGCCCGTTCCATTTTATATTTGTATATTGTTTTCATTTCGATAACATTTATATATCCATTTACTTCACTTTCTCATGTCCGACCACACTCCCTAGCTTATTCGCATTAAGCCAACTACGAACACGATCCAACTCGTGCCATATTGGCCAGACAATGCGGAAACATGGTTTCTGTATGCTGAGGCAGATTTTCGAGAACAGGGTGTCTCAGATCTTCATTCTCGATTTCATGCTGTCATACATTCAATACCGCGGGAATTAAACAGGTATGTTACAGCACACATGTTTGATCCTGAAGTAAGTGATCCTTATGCACTTCTTAAGGCGGAACTCTTGAAGAAAAGCGATCTCACAGATCGCCAGCCCCTAGACGAATTACTTCGTAACATCGAGCCAGACAACCACTCAGCTACTGAAGTCCTCGCACTCATGCGAGAAGTTATGGGTGCACGAACATTGGACGATGGCCTTTTCCGGGAACTGTTTCTCTCAAAACTGCCACAACCAGTGCAAACCGTGTTGGTGACACTGCAGTCAGTTCCACTCGATGACCTGGCAGCTTCGGCAGACAAAATACTGGAGATTTCTACCAGACCCGTCCCCAACGTATATTTTGTCTGCGACAAACCAGAGAACCGGGATTCAGAGGTGGCGAAGCTGTGGATGTCTGTTGAGCAGTTGCTACGATCTCGAAGCCCTAGTTCACACAGAACTCCACAGAAACGCATCTTAGTGCATCACAGCAACTCACGCGGTTGCCCCGAAACTAAACCTAACAGGGTGGAAAACCCGAAATGGTGCTGGTTTCATAATACTTACGGAGACAAAGCTAGAAAATGTCGGAAACCATGCGGTTTTAAGGAGGACACAAACTCGGGAAACAGCCATGCCGGCACGTGTTCACGGTAACCGTAGCCGGCGGAAACAGCCGTTTGCTCTACGTCACGGATATAGAAACGAAAGTTCGCTACCCCATCGACACCGGCTCAGAAGTTAGCGTTCTTCCCATACCGACAAGGGAGTGTCATCACGACCCATCCTTCAATCTTCAAGCAGCCAACGGTAAGGCGATCGCGACATTTGGGAGACGGTACGCCTAACTCAACTTTGGTTTACGTAAACCTATCCGCTGGACTTTCCTCCTGGCTGACGCCTCCATGCCCATCATTGGGATAGATTTGCCAGACCATTGCGATTTAGTTGTGGATGCTCGCTGTCGACGTCTGATAGATAACAACACAAAGTTAACTATTGGCTGCACCACCTATGTAGGTCCGAGTTTAGCCATCGTTAGGACCAAACATTCAGGCGACGCGTCCTAGCAAGCAGTTTTGGAGAAATATCCAGAGTTGCAGCAACCAAAGCGCACTCTTCCGTGCATAACCAGAGGTGTTATGCATCACGTCACAACCACGGGCCCACCTGTGGCATCCAAAGCACGGCGTCCACCCCCTGACAAGCTCAAAACGGCGAAAAGCGAATTCGACCACATGCTCGAACTGGGCATTATCGAACTGTAAAACTGTCCTAGGGCATAACCATTGCACATGGTTCCAAAATAGGATAGTAACGACCGGCGCCCAACCGGTGATTACCGAAGGCTTGACGCCAAGATAACGCCGGACTGCCACCCGACACCTCACGTTTACGATTTGACTGCAACCTTATGCGGAATGAACATCTCTAAAATCGATTTGGTCAAGGCGTACAACCAGATACCTATGGCAGCAAAAGATATCTCGAAAACAGCCATTATTACTCCTTTTGGCCTGTTTGAATTCCTGCGCATGCAACTTGGTCCTCGGAATGCAGCAGAAACATTCCAACGCTTTATGGATGATGTCTTCCGTGGTTTGAATTTTGTTCATGTCTACATCGATGACTGTCTAATTGCGAGTCCAGATAAGGAAACTCACCTTAAACATTTGGACCTCGCATTCGAAAGACTTAAAAAACATGGCATCACAGTCAACTTACAGAAGTGTGAAATAGGAGTTGAATCACTCAGCTTCCTTGGGCATACCATTGACAACAAAGGTATACGCCCATTGAGAGATAAAGTGGCGGCTATCACAAACTATCCAGAGCCGACCACTGTGAAACATCTTCACACTTTCAATGGCCTGGTAAGTTATTACCGAAGGTTTATCCCCAACTGTGCCTCTGTCATGAGACCACCAACAGATCTACTTCGAGGAACTACGAAGTTCGTGTCTCTGGACAACGCGGCTAGACTTGCTTTCTCTAAAGTCAAGGAAGCCATTTCGAACGCAACCATGTTCATGCATCATGACCCCAATGCTCCTTTGAGTATTGCTGTTGATGCATCTGATTCAGCAATTGGAGCAGTTTTGCAAGAATTGACTGACAACCAGTGGCAACCGTTAGCCTTTTTCTCGAGGCGGCTGCAAGACGCGGAAACAAGATACAGTACATTTGGTAGGGAACTCCTAGCCATGTACTGTTCTGTACGCCATTTTCGACATTCTGTGGAAGGTCGTGATTTCGTTATTTTCACAGACCACAAACCGTTAACGTTTTCCCTCAGCTCGGCGTCTGACAAATACTCCCCTCGTGAGTCGCGACAGCTGGATTACATTTCCCAGTTCACGTCAGACATCCGCCACATTTCTGGAGCAAACAACTCCGCAGCCGACGCACTATCTCGAATAGCTTCGATAAACTATATCGAGGGTATTGATCTCGTTGAACTAGCTCGGCGTCAAAAGGAAGACCTTGAGCTGCATCATGAGTTGTCGTCCACAACTCTCAAACTGCGACTTTGTCCTGTTGGATCAGACAAGGATGCAATTTTGTGCGATGTCTCTGCTAGTCAACCACGCCCAATAGTTCCGAAGAGTTGTCGACGCAACGTCTTCAATACGTTGCACAAACTCTCTCATCCAGGTGTACGAGCCACCATTAGGCTTATCGCACAACGTTTCTGCTGGCCTGGGATGAAGAAGACGTTAAGGAGTGGGCTCAGTCGTGCTTAGCTTGTCAAAAGTGTAAAGTCACGCGACACACGAAAAGCCCTTTAGGCTCATTTCTAGCCCCAGACATGCGTTTCGACCACGTCCATATAGATATTGTAGGACCCCTACCAGAATCTAATGGATGCACCTACCTTTTCACTTGTGTTGATCGTTTCACACGACGGCCGGAAGCAGTACCTATTAAGGATATTATTGCCGAAACGGTTGCTCGTGTTTTCGCCTTGAAAGTTGATGCTGGTTGTACCCCTGCAGAACTCATCTGTGAGACCACTCTTCGCCTACCAGGTGAGTTTGTTTCTCCTTCAACTTTCAAACATCTTTCCGACAAGGCATCTTACGAGACTAGGCTTACAAACGCAATGCGCTCAGTTAGTCCCCTCCGGTTGGACCTCAAACGACTGATGTCTACGTTCACCCCAGTTTACAAAAGACATCACACGTTTTTACACTACACAATGCCGTTCATCGATCACTTGAACCACCTTACAATGGACCATTCAAAGTGACCAAGCGACACGAGAAATTCTACATAGTTGAGCGAGACGGATGTGAAGATAATGTCAGTATCGACCATTTGAAACCAGCTTATTTCGAAGGCAACCCCATTATAAGTGACGTCTCAGCTCGCTACAGCCGACCGACGGATAGCTCAGTTATCGGAATTCTTGACGATGTGCCTGGTAATGCACAGTTGCAACAACCATCGGCGCAACAGAAAACACTATCAGGTCGAACCGCCAGGTTCCCAGAGTATTTAAAGTCGTATTCAACTTAGCGGTGTGGAATAAAATGTGCCAACCATGTTTCTTTTTACTCACAAGTTTTTTTTCCGAGGCACTATTCTTCTTATTTACCGGCAATGCGCAAACCCTCGTACACTTTGCCCTTTTATATCAACTTTTACCACCATGTAACGAAACTTTTTTTAAAAAGGCGGTGAAAATAGGCGTAAATTTTTATTTTTCGATACGTTCATACATAAGGAATTCCTATTTTTACGAAATGTTTCCGTGGTATTAAAGAGTTTTATTTATATCCAAAGTGCAACGAGCACTGGATGGAACGTCAAAAGGAACTGAGGACCACGATCGACGCCCAATTCGATTTATTGTATTTTATTATTTAATTGCCACGACACCCTAGAATAAGTTCAGAC